TGTTTATATATAAATCATATTTATTGATTTGATATATTTGTAATAATTTAGCATTTCTATATAATTTATATGTATACTGCTAAATATATTTATATAAAAATATTTTTAAAAAGATTTGTGAGGCATATCTGAAAAGCTGATACATAGAATGCAAAAGGTTGTCTTCTCCTGTTGTACACCTTAGCTAATATGGTATGTAAGAGAATAAACACATACAAAATTTGTCATATAAAATAGCTATTATGATACTAATCTATTGTTGTAGCTCAGCAATAACATATTTTAAAACGATTGCTGGTACAATATTTTCACTGGGATAGCACTAATGCTAACATGCAAGAAATTATGATATATATACTCATTTATACTCCTACGGACTCCCAAATTTCTTTAGCAATTTACTGACTGTCCAAAAGTTCATGCAATCTTTTACCCATCAGTCATTTGACAATGTCTATATAGTTTGTATCACTACTATAGATTATCAAAATTTATTTCTATTTCAACTGTTATAATGACAAATATATTGTTGCTTTATTTAGCACTACATTTTTTTAGTGACATATCTACATACTTTGTTCCTAGGAGAAGAAAAAAAAATAGATATTGAATTATTTTTTCCTAGTTAGGTTTACAAAAAAAAAAAAAAAATTATGAATTCTTAGGCCTTGTAAAATAAGCAACAATGTAAGTTTTTGCAGATATACAGCAAAATAATTTTTTAATTCGAATTTCTACCAGAAAATTAACTTTATGGTGTAGCTATTTGATCATGAAATGATTGTTGGGGCTATAAAGGTAACTATCTCCAAGGTATTGCATAATGTTTTTCTAGGGGTAAAGTATACCAAAATATGTGAATTATGAACAGAAAACTATATTTTCATTTCGTATGCACGAAAATACTTTTTTTTTTTTTTTTTTATTTGAAGTAGTCTAAGACTATTTTCTATGAGTTAGTTATGTTCTAAACTTGGCTTATAGGAATATCCTGATTATAATACTGAGATTTTCTTCATGCAAAAGAGATGTACAGTAACAATGGATTCCCCAATAGCAGTGCTAATGCTAATAATTGCAGCGGGGGTCAAAGTTAAGTTAATGATCATTTGAAAGTTATAAACTTTCAATATTCTGTATTAATTTGTAGTGGTCAAGTGATATTGTTATTAAAAGAAACCGTATGTGCTAATTACTAATGGAAAAAGGTCACTAGAAATCAACGATATTTAAAAATAATTTTAAAAATGTTCATAAAAGTGTTGATTCTTGTAAATACGGACGTCCATACACAAATCAGAAAAAAAAGAGTGGTACATTATATAAATTTAAAATTTATTACTGGTAATTTTCTAACATTTCCTCAACAAGTGTCTTCGTGAGTAAGGTCAAAAAGTACCTAAAATTCAAAACATTAAACTGCTTAAAATATTTCAAATTTCAAGGTTACCGGGCAGTAAAAACAAATTATATATACATTTAAAAAAAAAAAAAAAAAAAAAAAAAACATTGTATCCATATGTAATTTTTCCAGTAATTGTCCCCCTTAGTTAAATTTTCCAAACATTTTTAGGCTTTCAATAAATTATTCAACATGTTTAAACACCCGCTCCGTCTGAAAAAAAAATAAACAAACAATTCTTTTCTGCAATATTTTAAACTAAAAGTAAAATTATTTTATTTCAATTCAGATTGAAACTTTAAATCAACTAATTTTCTTCAACATGTCAGAAAAATATTTTCGAAAGATTTTTTTTTTTTAATAAGGAGAATTATGCGGTGTTGACAGATTTGACAATATGGACGAATTTATCGATTTTAACTGATAAGTCGAAAAAATCCAATAAATTAATTTTAAATTCGGTTTGAAATACAAACTCAAAAAAATATTTTAATTTGTACTTAGGATTTTTTTCAATCTATGAGTTGGTAATTAAAACCAAAATAAAATCTTGAAAGAATTTTCATCTTGTTTTATTTTTAAGCTTTCGGTATTTTTTTTTTTGCGGGGGGGGGGACTTCTTTTCAAATACTACTAATAATTGATTAATCAAAACTTTACCCCTCAAAATTGTGGTCTTACTTTCGTTAACTTTCAAGAGTATTGGATGATTTATTTTAAAGTTTAAAAACGGAAATATATTTGGCATGGAGACAATTGGAAAGTAAAGAAAGAAACACATGGCCGTCATTTTGCAATGCTAAATTCTTTTCTTTTAACTCGTACTTTCATTTTTTTTTTTATTGCATGATGAAATGAAAGTAACTAATAATCAAAATTAATAATATCAATGACAATGTTTCATAATAGAAAAAAAAAATGCTGCTTAAGACTACTAATAAAACAAATTAAAAATGCATTTAAATGTGACGTCACCAGGGCACGTGTTGCCAACAGATGTTTGTAAAGCTATGTACACACATGCACTATATTTCCTTATAATTGAGGGTTGTCAGTATTTTAATCCCCAAAGTTGGGAGAGATATAAAAAATAAACTGTGAATCACAAGTCGTTTTTACCGTCCCAGAAAAAGATATTAATAATGAAATTGAAATGATCTTTTTTAAAAAAAAAAAAAAAAAAAAAAAAAAAAATTAAAGTTGCTGGATGAGAGATGAAAGAAAAAGGTATTTCTTAAAAAAATTTAAAGGATGTCATTGTCACATTAAAAGAGTTGTTTTGGGGGGATTTTTTTTTTTTTTTCAGATGTCAGAAGTGTTACTAAAAAAAAAAAAAAAACTTTTTCTTTTAAAAACTCACAACAGTACGACTCCTATGATCATAAATTTTGGAATTGTCTTTAGAAACCAGGAACACAATGAAATAATTAAGTTTTAAAAATATTATAAATTCACTAAGTCCGAAGTGTTTTGCTTTCATCAATTATTACCGGTTTTATAAACAGACAATCTGAGTGGTCACAAAGTGAGGGGTGGGTTCAATCCTGTTTCTGATTGATATGTGCAAGAGCACACAACTATCATCATCCCATTGGATCTCGATAAATAAAGAATATGTGGTTAAATTTAGTTTTATCGAATACTGAAAAAAGTACAGGTGTTTCGCAACTTAAGTTTTAAAGAAAAATGTACTTCTCTACAAGTTTGGTGGAAAGGAGAAATCATTGAATAATTTGAATTGTAAATGTCTATTTAAAACTAAAATATGAATTGGTGAAAAGAAGGTAAGCTGGTCGTCGTGTTTAATTTCTATTAATTTTTATCAAAGACTTGTTAATATTTTACTTCTTTTTACAATTTAGTTTGCAAAAGACATGACCTTCATTTTTTTCTCGTTTTTATACACACAAAAATCAAATTTTTAATAAAGGTTTTTAAAATGGGTATTATTATTCATTTTAAGAAACTTAATTATCTAAAATTTCGTCTATGTTTGGTCATAACTCAGCGGGATAAAATAAAAAAATATCACTTTTTTGCATCAGCATCAGATTTTAAAAATAGTTTTTTTGTAACAATGAAATGTACACATATTTTAAAAACAAAACTTTTATTTTAAAAATATGTGTACATTTCAGAATTTTAAGTGGACAAATAAAAAAAACATTTAAAATGTAAATCAGACTTAGCTGAAGGCTCTTGTCTAACGTGAATCTGGTCTCTTTAAAACTTGACTTTTTTTTTTTTTTTTTTTTTTTTAAAAGCCAGTGAGACAAGTTGGCTCAAGAAAGGATCAGAATTCAGAGGTTTTAACATTTCGGCGGTTACAAATGATGAAAATTATAAACAATTTTAATCAGACTACTTACATACAGAAAAAAATTAAGTATTATTTCGTATTGCTTGTAGTGAGTGTTAAAAACTTAAAAGCTTTTCGGAAACTTCTGACATTGTCAATAATTTTTAATGTTGTCTAGTCTAAGAATATTAACCAGGAAGCTTAAAACGTTAGCAATCAAAAATAGGCCAACAACTATTTTCAAAAAGATAAATCACAAGAACTGGTCATAACTCAGCTAAAAGTAGGTATTTTTTTAATAATACTTTTCTTCATTCTTCATTATGTTCAATTTATCTAAAATAATGAGAAAAAATAGAAATAGAAGAGAGTAAAAAAATTCTTTCAAAAAGAAATACAGTTCTGTTAAGTCACCACAAAAGACATTAGAATTTTTAAACATTCCAAAATGACATTTTTTAAATTTAAAGATTTACTTCTCTTCAGATCTTAAATGAAAATGTAAAAAATACATGTTCATAGTTCACTAGTGTTAAAGTTAAATGGCTAGAAGACAAGCAGTCAGTATTAGAAACGATTATTAAAACTACAAAAAAGTAAAAACAGTCAATCATTTTCCAGTTTTATGAATATCGAACACCATTTTTCACCAATAATGTTTTAAAACGACTGCACATATGGTACAGTACAAGTGACATTTTTTTCTTTATTCAGTTTTTAATGTTTTCACCTCAAGCAATATATAGGTTGCAAAAGTACAGATTCATTTTATTTTATTTAGCGTTCTTTTTTTTAATTTAAATTTTAAAATAATGTAAGTGGCCTACCTACACAAGATGGGATTGCACATTAATTTTTAATTTAAAATTTAAATACTTTCAAATTCAATTCAGTTCAACGCAAATAAAGCGTAGCCGTAGAAAAAAAATTAAATAGAATTGTGGTGATCTACTAGTCTACTCTACTGATTATCTTTTTTTTTTTTTTTTTTTTTTAAATTTCTTTCAACTAATATTCGCCCAAACATTGCACTGGACTGAAATCAAGTCAAAAAGTATTAGTCACGGCGTGCATTAGTAGGTAATAACGACTTTGAAATTTTCACTATGAGAACTAAATTGAATTATGACTACGAGGAGAGGCAAAAAAATGGGAGGTCGTTTATTGTCAGAATCAGAAACACAAATAAAAGGAGACCCCACCACCATCATCTAACTTAGATGGGACAGACGAAAAGAAACAATAAACAGCAAAAGCAATATTTTTTAGTCTTATAAAATTTAGCAATTTTAAACTTACCCATTTTTAATGGCTTCAAAGATATGCTGACCCAGGTTGTCGTCGACAGATTTGAATTTGTTTGGGCTTTTTAATGGATTTGTTAAGGTACGATGAAAATTATTTTTTTGCTTGGACGAACCACCGAGGTAATAATCCGAAGAGGACAGGGTTACGACGGAAGAAAAATTGGGTGATGGTGAAGAGGCGGTAGCGCCAGAAGAGGTGGACCCGTGTTGTTGTTGGTGATGATGGTGAGTAGGAGACAGAAGAGAATGAGTTGATGAAAAAATAGAAAATGGAGTAGTATTTTTGAGAGATTGCGGAGAAGACTTGGTCTTTTTTGAACTAGTGGAGTAACAGTTAGAAGTGGAAGTACTTGAGTTGTTGTTGTTGTGCTGGCCATTGTATTGTTTAGGATTGTTGTAATGATTATTTTGGTAATAACTTTGATCTTGTTGATGGTGGTGATAGTGAGTTGAAGCAATAAAAGGAGGAGGAGGAGGAGGAGGAGCGGCGGCTGCAGCCGACATGTTGTAGTGGAAGCGACATGGGCCGCAGTGACTGACTGCCAGTGGTAGTACAGTGTGACCAGTAGGTATGAAGGATGCACCGGCCAAACAAAATAACGGAAGTTGAAAAAGAAAAAACACTACATAAAAAATAAAAGGAAAAGAATAACCCCCACAAACATAACGACTTGTTTTTTTTTTTTTTTTTTTTTTTTTTTTTTTTTAGAATTGCGGCAATAAAAGGACAGACGAAGGTGGAGACCAACCGTCAGTAGTAGGGGGAAGGGGAGGGCGAAGGAAGGGGAGAGAGAGACAAATATAGATTGACTTGTGAGTAACAAAGGAGCAGTATGAGTAAATGGGTTTTACTATGGAAGTAAGAGGAAGGATAAGATTAGGACAAGAAAGAGTTATGAAGACTAATAAGAAAACGTTTAACTTTTTATTGTTCGTGCAATGGAATTCTCATGACAAAAATTGTTTTTAAACTCAATGCAAATTTCTTTTTTTAAATTTGAACTTCAGTGTTATTGTCACTTTAAGTATTTTCACGCTAAACATTACTAGTAACTACGACAAAATTCTTCAACGAAATGGAAGCGTGCAAGTTCTGGAAAGGAGAGCCGTGGATGACTTCAAAGCATAAAGAAGCCAGTGAATGTAGTAAATTTTTGGTAAATTTGCAGACAATGGCCCACTGACAAATTTTTAAAAAGTATCATAAATTAAAAAGGCAATAAACTTTAGTTTCTTTAAACTGAAACATATTGCTTTTTATGAATCTTAAGAATAAAGTTTTTTTTTGATGAAATGAATTTTTACAAAGATTGTTTTCATTTATTTTTTTTACAATAAACTTCTGTGTCAAAAACAATGCTTTTTTCTGTGATATTTTAATTGTAACATTTGTTTCAATTCACATAATTAAACTTTTCTTAAATAACATCAGCAAAGTATGTTTTAAATTAAAATAAATAAAAAATAAATAAATCTTTCAAAATTAAATAGAATTATTTTGTGTTGACAGATTTGTCAATATGAACAAATTTATAGATTTTACTGATAAGGAAAGAAGAAAATTTTAATTCAGTTTAAGAAAATACACCAAAGTATTTTGCTTATTGGGAATATTAGTCTATTTGCTTGAAAGAAAAAACTAACTAAAATTAAAGCTTTAAGAAAGATTTTTCATTTAAAATGCATTTTAAACTTTGGTATCAGTCATAGTGTAGATTTCAAGCTTTGTTGAATTACTTTGTGTTTTTGATGTTTTCCCAGTACTTTCTTTCTTATCCATTCATTGTCCTAACAAAACATGGCACATTAATACTCTGAAAGTGTAGATTTTAACACTATTGGAATTCACACTCTTGATTATTATTTTGGGCTATTAATGCACCCAATATCAGAAGTTGATGTATTATGATGTAGGTCCTTTCAGTGACACCTTTTCTTTTTTTTCCCAATTTTAGCCCTTCAGAAACTTGTTAAAATTGTGTTCTTGTTTAGGCAATGAAAATGTCCCAAGTGACTTCTGAAGGCTATCAGATTCAACAAAAATGATTCTAGTCTGTACAGTGCTGTAATGTAAATACTTCATCTCAGAATTTCAGTGCAGTAGCTGAACTTACAAAAATTGTTTTATACTTGTAAAATTTGCTTATCACAAATAGATCCTTGATCTAATTAATATTTATAATGGCTTATATCCAAATAAGCCATTATAAATATTAATCTTTAAAAAGTTATTGCTATTGCAGCTTATGACTAAATTTGCTGCAATCATTGTAAGTGATAGTGACATGACAATATACATCAATATGAAAAGTTGGAAACTGGATATTGTAATTTAACATTATTATTAAATGAAAGCATTTGTATTAATCTTATTTATATGCAGCACTGTAAAAATTTTATTATTTATTATTAAAAATCAAAATGGTGAGAGAGAAAAAAAAAATGCAGTACATGGGCTAAAACTGAAAAACTTTTAAAGAATGGTACAATGAATAGTGTGAATTTGTCTATTTTTTTTTTTTTTTAAATTTAATCTCCTGATACTTTCAGTATGCATATATGAATCCAGATACAAAAATTGTACAACATGGATTTATAAAATAAAACAGTTACTTTCACTTTGAAATCATGTTAATTTCAGTGGTAAATTTAGAAAAAGAAAAAAACAATTTTTTAATACAGAAAAGATTTTCCAAACATACACACACACACACACACATATAAATAACCTACACCAAATGTTATTTTGTGGATACTCATGTTTGAGTAGACACCCTGTATTTTTTTTTAATAAACTATCTTGAATGATACTGGCCTAGACATTCTTTATTAAATCTATCTTGAATGTCTAGGCCAGTATCTACTGAGTTTGAACCTGCCACCCTCCTTGTAGGAGGTTTCTTCTACAAATGGGGACCCAATTTCAAACTCTGCTAGAGAGCATATTTTCTTCATTAAGTCTATAATACGCAGACTAGTAGATATAATTCACACTGTTACAGAAAGAAAAAAACAGTTTCTTCTCAAACATGGGTATCCATTTAATAACTTTTGGTGTAGTAGGAAATAATGTCAGATGGAAATCCATTGTTTCCTTAGATATATAAGCTTTAGAAAGAAAGTAGCCCGTAAATTAAATAAGTGATATCTTCAATTTGCACTTGTTTCCCTATATAAGTGAGTTTAAGTCTGTTGATGATGTTGGTAGTATCCGTTGTATTTTGTTTTTAAATAATATAAACCACATCTGATTTATACTACACTTTATATCCAGAATAATTTGTATGTTTTTGCATAGTAGCTTGTCTTGATGGTATGAATCTTAATTGTGATATTTTTTTCTTCAAGTTACTAATAAATGTAGATCATTTTATCAAAGTTATTTTATTTGTAAACTGTTTGGTTAATCTGAGAGATGGTAGAGTACCTCCTAAATCTTCTTTGACAATGTCCAAGATTGATAGGAGCACAATATATAGATTGTTTGTCTAATCTGTTTTGTCTTGCAAGCACTGGCTTTAATTTTTCATGTAAGTGTTCAACAAGACTACATGTACATGGATGATACGCAATTGTCTTAATGTGTTTTACCAATAAGAATTTATTGAGTTATTTCAGTCGATTGGAAATGAATCCCCTCTGTAGTCCAACTATATCTATGAGTACATTGGTAAAATGATCAGTAGGTCTTGCAAATGTTTCAGGCAGTGACTTTTTATGCCTACCTTGTAGTTCTAGCATTCCTAGCACTATTTTGAGTCCTTTTATATGTTTCTGTATTTTTGTTTGGTTGAATAATTATGCTGTTAATTGTTAATTGAGCATGATAAATTATGGAAATGATGAAAGAGTTATTTCTGTGAAGTATCACATCATGTATTATCAACATGCTGAATGAAATAGAGCATTACATTCTTTGAAGTGAAATGTTGTTTTATATGTTCCCACAGAATACATTAACTATAGTTTTGATGGCTCAACTCTCTCTCTGGAAATCTTTTAAAATCTGTGGATACCTTTACATACTTTGCTAGTAAATTTCCAGTAAGCGGGACACCAGAATAACTTTTTTCACTATCAGCCAAGTACTCTCCCTATAAACAACTCTGTCCAGAAAAATTTAAACCATCCTGAAATCAAAGTGCTGATATTATCACTTTTGTTTAATTATTGCAAGACAACAAAACCACTAAGATGCAAGGAATTACTGAGTATGAGAAGATATGAGAAAAAGAAAACATCAAGGTGAGAGAACAATAAAAGAACAGAAATTAAAACAGATGATTGACATTGTATTTAAATTTTTGAAGATCAACATTGGCTAGAAAGCAAGAATCACATGTGAGAAGTGCAAGATAAGAAACTGGTAGCATTGAACTTACAGTTACATCTATCCATTTCAACTGTATAATGATGACACATTGCTGCCAATCTAGTAGTATGATTAAATTCACAAAGTCTAGGTACCAAAGAGGAAAACGCATCAGAACAATTGCCATGAAAATATTTATAGAAACTGCACTGGGAAGCTATGTTATGATGGTTGGAAAATGACTAAAGCTAAGATGCCTTACATCAGGACCAATAACATTCCAGATTCTTCTTTATATTCTATCAAGAATCTCTAAATATAGAGCAGAGGCACCAGACCATATGTGACAGCAATATTTAATGCATGGACTTTTGGTAGACTTTTAAATGGGTAAGATATATTCTGGAGAGAAAAATTATCTAGCACAACACAGTGAACCACCTTTCCTAGCAGTAGACCTAGCAATTGATTTAATATAATATTTCTACTTCATGTTAGCAGAAAATGCTGGCCTAAGAAGAATGCAAGGAGTAACTGTTCTGGAGGTTAGCATCAGCCATGCTAATGGAAGGAAAAAATTTCTTGCAGATGATTAAAAGAGAGCAGTTTCATTTTGGAAGTGTTAAAATTAACAAGTCATTTCTTACCCCAGTTAACAACAGATTGTAGGTCATTTTTTTTAGATCATCTACTAATTTGATCTTATCATGAAACTTACCATTGAAACAGGAGTAAATAATTGTGTCATCAACATAGATAGCGAGTTGAGAACTGATGCCATCAGGATGGTCATTGATCAAATTTAGTCTAGGTTCAAGAAATTGTCTATATCCAAGTACAGAGTCCTGGAACACACCTGCATTAATGCAAAAAGCTCTAGAAGAGTGGCCATTTTGACAACTTTCGTTTTGCAGTTTGATAAGAAAGATTGAATCAGATTAAAAATTTGTCCAAAAATACCATTTGAAAAAGTTTGATAGACTCTTTCAGCATAACTGTTAATATATCAGCAGTTGACCTAGAGAAGCAAAAGCCATATTGCTTATCTGAAACAAGACCTTGTGAGGTAAGATGCTTAACCAATTTGGAGTTGATTAGAGCCTATAGTACTTTTGCCAAAAAGTAGTAGATCAGATGGTTTGCCTGTGTTCTTAAAGATTAGAGCTACAAAATGGATTTCCAACAAACAGGTAAGCATGAAACAGCAAGGCATTTATTGTAGAATTTTGAGAAAACAGGAGCATGTTTATTAGGGACAATACCATCAAGTGCATATGATTTTGTAGGGATCCAGTTTAGAGATGATAGTAGAAATCATGGACAAATTTGTATGCATATCACACAATAGAGACTCAGTTCTGAGCAGAAATTCAGACAAAGATACTATGGATGAGTCAAGAAAGAGAATTTACAAGCAAAATATTCTGCTTTTTGTTAACATCTCAAATTAATTGAAGAGAGGAGGAATAGAAAATTTACTCTTATTTAAAGCCACCAATAGCCATGAGAGCCAGGAGTTTCTATCAGCAAACAAAGACTTAGCCACTTTGAGGATATGTTTACAATTATTACAAGTGAACACAAAGAGGCATTTGTTGTGTTCGGAACTATCATGCTGGTACAGCATTGATACCAGCTTTAACCCAAGAAAAAGGTTAAACATATCAATCCAAGTGTTGTTTTGAAGAAAGTCAAGAAATTAATCCCAATCAGTATGCTGGTAACAGAAAGAAATTTTGTGAATAGGAGATTCCTGTCCAACAGATGACTCAAAAGAAGTATCAACAGATACTATAGCATAACCTAAAAGTTGATTGTATCATAATAATGCATCATTAAAATGTTTAAGAAATTTAAGAATTTAAAATAATAAAGTTTTAGAAAATGAACAAATATAAAATCATATCAGTTAAATTTTACTGTCATTTTTATAAAAATCACAATTTTATTTTGGTTAAATCACCTTGAATAATTTTACATGGAAATTTCCTTATTAATTCATTTTCATGGTCAGATTAACTTTTACCATATTTTAAGAAATGTGCTCTATGCATTCATTTTTTATATCAAGAATATTAGTGCATTCCACATAAATTTAAAAGTTTTTAAAAGGCTTTATAAAAAAATGTTCATTTACCTGCTTTGCCTTCCATGTCCTTTTATCTTATCTTACTTATTATAAAACGCAGGTTGTCTGTGTGTGTGTGTCTGTAACGTTTATATGTTGGATCGAATTTCCTACATTTTTTAGCCGATTTCAACAAAACTTCACAGGACTACATAAAATTACCTTGTGGTGGTTCTAACGGGGCCGAAAATGGGGAAAATACAGTTGTTTTTTAATAAAATCAATTTGAAAACACGATTAAGACACATCGTGAGAATGAAAGGGGGAGAACTCACCCACGAAAATGTAAACAAAAGAGCATAGCATGATGAAAAAAGACGCCTTTAACTTGACTAAAAAACAAAATTTTATCATCTAATGTTCATATTATTATTAAAGAGGAAAGATCAAAGTATTTTGGGGGTATTTTTTTACATTTTTTAATCGTTCCTAGCACGTCTGAAATTTTCATTAAAAATATTGTTTTTTTTTGGTCAAAAAAGGGCAGATAATCATTTTCAATCATTTTTTACGATTTGATAAAAAAGATTAAAATCTTACTTTGATATTCTTTTAAAAGTCAATTATCATTTTTTTCAAAACTGATTTTAATAAAAACAGATATTATACTGTTTATTTAAAATATTTTGAACCAAGCTTAACTTAGCTTCTGCGCCCGAAAAAAGTGTAATTTGAAAATAAAACAAAGCAGGTCATAACCTTTCGTCGTCGCTTGACGATTGATTAAAGGCACATTCATGACGTTTAGATAACTTACGGAGGAGAATTCTTTTCACGGATGGAAGGGAGTGAAATTATTTAAGTGAACAAATTATTTATTTTGTTACTTTTAAGGAAAACTTTCAGTGCTCTAATTTTTTATTTTTATTTATTTTTTTTTTTTATTTTTTTTGTACTTAGCTTTCATTTTTACGTTTACGATGCTTTATGGAAAATATAAAGAAATTAAAAATAAGACTGTTAATAGTGAGATTAAATTTCATAAGAAAAAGGTATCTAATTAATTTAGGTACCTTTCTTATGAAATTTTATCAGAAGTGTACATAAAATACTATAATTTTATGTACATTTATTACATTTTACTGTGTTATTTGTATTTCCATTCATTTTATTATTAATTTTGATATTTCATTTATGGAAAAATGTCATAACTGAGATTAATATAAAAATAAGATCATATAAATTAAAGTTTAGCAGTAGTTAAATTTCACAAGATGATACTGTTACTTGTAGGTACCTTTCTCAGTTGAAATTGAAAACTCAAATTAACTTCTCCATACGTGTTTCAAAAAAAGTAAAGGGCTTAACAGCGGAGAACAATGCTGAACTCAAATAATGCAACTAAATTGTATTCTGGTTGGTCTTCCGTACTTGATAATTACTGTCCGACTATAAACACAAAAATTACATTTCTTAATTACCATGGCTAATCTGATTGGTCCAAATTATACAATTTTCAAAGCGCTAGACAATGACAATCTCACATGGACATTTTGAAAGGTTGATGTTGCTTTTAACTAATGTTAAAATATTTTTAAAATTCAATTTAAACATTTTTTAAAAATCTTTTTAAAATTAAAGAAATAAGAAATAATTGTATAAAAAATTCAATTTTCATTGAAAAAATTTTTTGCTTTCAGAAAATATTGTCCATATTCATAAAAACAAATTAAAACAAATAAAAGCATTTGAAACTAAATAATATATTTGTTTTATTGAGTTTTGTATGTTACAATTCACAGCTGATTTTCAGGTACGTTGGCCAAAAAAAAAAAAAAAAAACATGATTTGCATTCTTCAAAGCCTTGTGCTTTTAACTATTGTAATCACTAAAACCGATGGTCTTGAATTTCTAGAGTTTTTCATAAAATTAGTTATGGGGGTGTTAATAAATATAAAAAAAAATATTTCTGCCATGACTTTAATAAATATTTATAATAATTTCGATCATCTGTGAATAGTTTCTGAAAGTTTCATTAACATCTGACAATTATTTTTATTTTTGCAAGATTTTCCAAATTAATGTGTGTAAATACAAAAAAATGCGCTAAAAATTATCTATGTTATTTACTACCCCTTGTTGCGACAAAGGTTTTTTAAATCAAAATTTAGAATATTCTAAAAAGATGGAAAAATTTTTTTAAAATAATTAAAAAAAAATCTATCCTCTTCATAAAAAAATAAGCATTTTGACGATAAAATTTTGTTTTCATAAACTTTGGCGTCTTTTTCATCAGACTATGCTCTATGTTTTAGCGATTCCGTGGAGTGACTTAGGTTAAAAAACCCAGGTTGTTTATG